GAGACACTGAGTCACACAGACTGTCCTCAGAAAAGGTCCAAACACACTATGCCCAGGTCAGAGGGACCGTCAGCCTTCAGGACCCAGGATTGGAGGCACAGACTGTACCAGAACTGCAGGATGTGCTGGGTGACGCACAATGACACCTGGTACCGGGAAGCCTGTCAGGGCCAGGGTACTGGCTGCCGGGTCCCACGCATCCCTCACCCAGGGCAAATGCTGCTCAGAGCGTGGTGACCCCAGCAGGCTCAGCTGAGATCCCGAGGGGCCCTCCCAGGAAGCCCTCAGGATTTCATCTGGATGCAAACACTCCCCTGGCATTGGGATACCTGGAAGTGGGACAGACCAAATGATGGCCTTGCAAAGCACATTGGCCTTGCTCCTCATATCCAACCGGGGCCCTGGAGCCCTCAATCTAGCCCCGAATTCTCAGCCTGACTCATAAGGTCTCTTCTGGCCCAGCCCAGATGTTCTGGAGGTCAGAGTCTGGGAGGGTTCTCTTCCTGGGGTCTCCTGAGGCTGCAACCAAGGCCTGGGCTCTCATCTGGAGCCCCTGGGGAAGCATCTGCCTCCAGACTTGCTCAGCTTGTTGGTGGAGTTCAGGTCCTTGCAGCCTCAGGACCAAGGCCCCGGTGTTCTTGCTGTTGGCCAGGGACTGATCTCAGCTCCCAGGGGCCTCTCAGGTCCTTGCCCCACGACCCTGCCATCTCAGCCGGCGAGAACCGCCCTTGCCTTGAATCCGTCTCACACTGCGAGGCTCTCAGACTCGCTCTTCCGCTACCAGCGGGAGAAGACGCTCTGCTCCTTCCGGGCCTGTGTGATCAGATCAGACCCGCTGGGCGATCTCCATCTCATGGTCCACTGATCCGTAACCTTCAGTACAGCTGCAAAATCCCCTTTGCTGTGAGAGGTAACATAACCACGTGTGTGATTGCTGCTCATATCCACAGTCCTGGGGCCCATGGGCAGGTTAGGATCAGGTCCCTCTCCTGACCCCTTCTCCTTGGCTCTCAAGACACCACAATCTCTCGGTTCCCCTCCTTCCTCACTGCCCCTCCTGCTTGGTCTCCTCTGCTGCATTTGCCCACCACTGCCAGCATTTTTAAGAACATCAGGGACTCCCCGAAAAAATCATAATAAAAAAGGGCTGGATCCAGGCCAGCCAGGGACCTGGCAGAAGCCATCCCAGCTGGGGACTCTCAGGGCCCCGCTTCGGCAGCTTGTGTCCCAGGGGCTGGGGCCTCGCCCTCCAAACTCAGTGTATAGAGTGACGGCCCAGGGTCAGGTAACCGCCCAGGAGATTTCAGAAAGTGCTGAGTTGCCCTCTTGTCTGCCGTGAGGGGGCCCGGCTGACATCTGGGGGTGAAGGGGGCGATGACCCAGATAGAACCGGCCTATTTTCCAGCTTGGCTGGAGAGTGTTCAAGAGGAAGCCTGGCCTTAACTAGAAATGTCTGTGGACCTGAAAACGGCACAAATGCTGGATCTGGGAGCGGACTCGCACCAGGCAGGGTAATAGTAATAACCGCAGTTTTGGTTTTTTTTTTAACACTATGTGCCAGGTGCTAACTTTGTGCATCAGCTAAGAGAATCCCCACAACTTCTTACGAGGTTGCTAACCCCATTTCACAGAGGAGGAAACAGACAGATTAAGGGACTCACCCAAGGCCAGGGAGCTCACGACTAGAGAGGAGCCACAGAGGGACGTCACATCTGCCTTTAGTGTCCCTGCCGTGCTGAAATACGGCTTATCCGTCTATGCTCCAGCATTAATACGGTGCTTATAACAGCAAGAGACTCTGCGGGGAAGCAGTTGAACTACGGCTAAAGGAGGGACACTAGGCGAGGCTATTTGGACTCGACGTGAGGAAGAGCAGATGTTCTAGGGTCAGAGCGGTCCACAGGTGCACACGGCTGCCTTGGGAGGGAATGAGCTGCCTGTCACTGATTATATGCAAGTGAAGAGGCTGTTCTCACTTTCTGAGGCCCTGGTAATCACAGACCCTGTACCGAGCACCTTACCTAGGTCATCTTTAGGTACTCACAGCTCCATCACATAGGCACTGTTGTACCCAATTTACAGGTAAGGAAACTGAGACTCAGAGAGATTAAGTGACTCATGATGGTGAGCCAGCGATCAGTGGGGAGCGGTGACTAACGCCCAAAGCTGTGTGTCTGGACTCTGAGACTTTAGCAGGGACAATTGAGTCCCAGTCCCTGCCCTCATGGAGATCACATTCCAGGTGGGAGGAAGACGATCCAGAACAGTGAGTCCTAAGAGTGAGGGCCCGAACGGGGGCTTTGTCCCCGGGCAGCAGGTGGGCGAACCCCTACCCAAGTAGCACAGGTTTTAGGCAGGGAAATGGGGAGACTGGGTTCGCACTCTAAGGGGAGCTCTCTCTCTCCGGCGGCTGGGCGGAGATGGCCTGCGGGGGACGGAGAGGCAGGATGGCCAGCAGGGAAGACTGTAGCGTTGCTCCCCGCTGGAGAGATGGGGCTTGGACCAGGGTGGGCTAGCGGGTGGATTCGAGAGGTTTGGAGCCAGAACCAGTGGGCCTTGCTGAGACGCCCCCTGTTACTGAAGCTCAGAGCTGGGAGGTGACATGACCAGTGCCACAGGGCTGGGACACGGAGGACGTGCGATTTGAGCCCAAGTCTGCCAGGCCTCTAACCCCGTTCTGTTCCCTCCACCTCAATGCTTCCCCACGTTGCCGTGAAGTTTCTTCCTGGGGACCGAGAGGGAACAGCTAATGGCGGCCCCTTAGCCCCAGCTCCCTGTGGTCAGAGCAGCCCCGTCCCACCTCTTCTCAGAGGGCAGTTCCTCCAAGATATTGCGCGGTGGGAGTTGGGGGGAGCGGAGACATCGCCATCGTAGACACTGGAAGGCCCAGCCTCCATGGGGTGGACCCTGGAGCCATGGCCAATGCCTCTGTCCTCCTTCCTGGGAGGACTCTGCCCCGGAGACGCCCTCAGAGGGTTCCAGGACCAGCTTGGGTGTTCCCCCAGCTCTGGGCCCCAGTTCTGCGGTGCAGGGCGAGTGAAAGTAAGAACGGGGTGGCTGGTATGGGGGCCTCAGGGGAGCAGCGGCCACAGCACAGCCTCCTGGGCCCCGGGCTGCTCTGGGTTTTGCCTCCTCTGCTCCCCGGGCAGGAAGGAGGGGAGAGCAATAGATCTCTGAGGTTCTAGCCCAGTGGGGGAGGGGGTAAGCAGTGCCAGGTCTCAGCACAATTCCAGCAGAATCAACAGGCCTTGCTTGTCTTCCTTGCACCCACTCAGCCCCCACCCCACCTCCGGGCTTCACACAGTCCCCACCCTCCCCGGAAGCCACCTTTGCCAGCCAACCCAGCTCCAGGGCTCTTCTGCTTCAGCCCCTCCTTCTGTCAAAACTTGCTCTCAGAAAAGGGTCCATTGCGATCTTCTGGAAGAAGACAGAAGGAAGGAGCAGGAAATAAAAGTAAGGCTGATGAATACCTACTGTGTGTCCGGCACCGTGCTGCCTGTTCTTCTCAAAAATTTCTCAAAAAGCTACGATCATGTGCAAGTTTCCTGCATCCTCTGCCGCTAGGATAAGGCCCATGAAATTCCTCCTTACCCTTCTAGACTTTCTTCTATGCACGCACAGACAGGGGTTAGTTTTTAAAATGAGGTGATGCTAAGTGTTCTACATGGATTATCTCATTTCATCCTAGGTGCTATTATCTCTACTTTGCATTTCAGGAAACCCAGGCTCAGAGAGGTTATGTACTTTTCCTAAGGGCACACAGCTGGTAGCTCAGCCTGGCTCCCCAGCTTCACGCTGCATCCTGAGCATCACCTATGGCTGGGGAAGGCTGGCCTTGTCCCTGATGGGGGCATTTCGGGCTGCAGGGCAGGCAGGGTTGGAATTCTGGGCAGGAGGCCTTATCTGGCTCTCCTTTCTGCTGTGCCATGGACTTTAGCCCGGGGTCAAATTCCAGCCCCATGAGCCCTTGTTAAGGCTTTTAAAAAGGGACACTCTATTGCCATTTAATTGTGGCTCTGCCCTTGAAGCAGGCTCCCAGCTCCCAAGGTTCCCAGCTGTCGGTAACAGCCTTGCCTTGGAGTTGTGGCTCCCAAAGCCCAAGGGAGAGAGGCCGCCAGCGGGAAGGTCTGAGACCCGGGCCCCTCACCAGCCGTGTGACCTAGGCAGTCCCCGCCTCTCTCGGCCCTGGTCTTCTCTCTTCTGAGGTCCCTTTCAGCCCCACTGGAAGCCCACGATTCTTCCCCTAATCAGGGAAGGGGGGCCTGCAGCTTGCTGGGGGAGGGTGGGGTGGGGGAGGGGGAGGAGAAGAACCAGAGCGTGAAGAGGGCTCTGAGGCAGGTTGATGGGTTTGGAAGGGGGCCGGGTGGTTAAATGACATGGTGCGGAGTCCCTGGATGGGCGTTCACGGCCCAGCTCAGGCCTATGCCGTTGCGTGGGGTCCGTGCTCTGGAGAGCCCATATTTTATGAGCCCACGAATTACGTCACCAGCCCTGCTGCCGATCATTAGCCGTGTGCCCAGGCAAGTCACTCCACCTCCTAGACCCTCAGGTTTCTCATCTGCAAAGTGGGGCGATGCCTCCACCAGATTGGAGGGTTGTTTTGAGAATTAAACAAGAGACCTCAGGCCAAGAGCCAGGCAGTGGGAAGTCCGGGGTGTCTGGTGGTGTCTGGCGGTCCCTGGTAACTATGGTAACTAGGGCGGTGTCTCTTCAGGGCCTGACGGGGGAACTATCTCCAGAGCAGCCGGGGTCTCCCCCAGCTCTGTCCCAGGGCTCTCTGGGCACTTCACAGGACACTTCAGGCCAAAAATAAAATCCTGACTGGGAAGCAAATCATCCCACCAACCCAGAGCCCCCCTGCCTGTGGCTACATTGGGCCGAGTGGTTTGGGGTCCTAAGCTACTGGGAGATTAGTTACAGAGCCCCAAAGGACTGGTGACCCGCAAGTGAGTCCTCTTGCCCGGAGGCGCGCACGTGGATAGAACGAGACTGGGTTCAGAATAGCAGAGCAGAAGCGTTATTCACCCATCAGTGGATGGAGGAGGCCTAAAGCACCTTCTCCCAGAAGGGCAGGTGAGCCAGGCTCTTATGGGATGTGCAGGGGGAGGGGTCTCCACGTCGTCGCTGGGGCAGGAGCACTTGGGGCATGCGCTGACCTTCCTTTCCTGCACATGGCACCTTTGGCACACGTTTCGTTTTGCGCAGGGCACCCCATCGCCATCTTGGACCTTTCTGGTTGGGACCGGTTCTGCCGTTGGCCACCTGGCATTGTTCTGCCTTGGTTCCTATAAGCAAGCACAACTTAAAAACAAAAATTAGATGTGGGAAATGTTTTAGGGACTTCCCGGGTGACAACTAGGTTCTGAGGTTTTTGACCCTGGGAAGAGAAGAGGGTCTGGCGAGGCTGCTGCAGCATCTGCTTTCAGCCGGGGGGGGGGGGCGGGGGGGGACGGCCGTCTGTCCTTCACGAATGAAGTCCCAGAGGTGCCCGGAGGTGCTAACCGAGTGTCGCCAAGAGCAGCCGCCCTGTTCTGTGTTACGTATTGCAAGACCCCCGTCGACCCTGCTTCCAAGTTCTGGCAACTCCGCCTCCTGGACGTTTCTGGAGTCCCGACTTCCTGGATTAATCTCTCAGCTCAGTAATATCCCAACAGAGAGATTTTTTTTTAGCCCCCCCAGTACATAGTTGTATATTCTAGTTGTGGGTCCTTCTAGCTCTGCTGTGTGGGACGCGGCCTCAGCATGTCCTGATGCACGGTGCTAGATCTGCTCCCAGGATCGGAACTGGCGAAACCCTGGGCCACTGAAGCTGCACACGCAAACTTAACCACTTGGCCACTTAACAGTGAGATCTTGGGCAAGTTACTATACCTCTCTGGGCCTCAGTTTCCCCATCTGTGAAATAACATCTTTGACAAGGTGGGTGTGTCATATTAAATTAACCCCTGCGTGGAAAGTGCCTAGAACTGTGCTGACAAATGTCAGACACTACAGCTGCTGGCCTCCCTGCGGCACCTCCACTCTGAGCCCCAGCGCGCCCTCCAAAACGCCAGTGTGACCATGCCACTCCTTCAGCCGAAACTCTTCAGCCGCTGCTTGCCCTCAGAATAAAGCCCAGACTCTGGCCTGGCTTACCTGAGCCACCGTAAGGTGAGCCCCTGCTCAGCATCCATTTCCCCTTCTCCAGCCAAGGCCCCGGATTTGCTCTGGGACACCGCCAGGCCCCACGGCAGTTCCTATGATGTGACTGTCAGTCAAGCCAAGGGGCAGGGACATGACCCAGGCTCAGCCAATTGGACATGCTCTCTAAGGACCTTGCTTCTTGAGGATGGAGAGGCGGATGAGAAGGGGTTGGGGAGGGTTTGTTTTGGGGGTATCCCCCTGAGTCCCTGCTTCCTGGATCTCCTGGGCTGCCCGGGGCCCCTGTCCTTTCTGAGCATGGGTCTTCAGTTTTTCTTCTGATTCTGTCCCTCCCTCGTAGCCTTCCGCGATGCCCTCTTTGCCCAGAGTGGCCTTGTCAGTTTCTGTTGCGGGCAACCAGAGAGCCCGGCCCATGCACTCCGGCTCCTGCTGACAGCTGCTCCAGCCACACCCGAACCGCTCCCTCTCCGACCTTCACCTTCTGCTTCCAAGGATCTGCCTACAGTTCTCACAGCCCATGCAGGCTCTTTTGTGTCTCTGAGCTTTTGTCCCCACTGTTCCTTCTGCCAGGAGTGCTTTTCCCACCTTCCTTCTCGCTCACTCTTATCCTCAAGAATCACCTCAGACATTGTTAACTCGGGGGACTTCCTGCAATGCTCCTGCCCACCCCCACCCCAGGCTGGCTCTGACCCTCTGGGTAACCCTAGACCCTGGGCTTCTCTCCCCCTGCACCAGCCCTCCCTGCACACGTGTCCTCCCTCCCTCACCTGGACCCAAGGTCAGGGCCAGGCCCACTACTCACTTTCATGTCTCAGCTGCTGCTCTGGAACCATGGAGGGTCAAGCAGAGACAGCTCCCTTGGGACCTGCTCAGGCACTCCCGGGCCGGCACAGACTGAATCCATTGCCCACTGATGAGGGGTGGTGAGGGGTTGCTGAGGAGTGGGAGATGGGGGAGTTGTCCCAGAGTCACAGTGAGCCCACCCCCTCGCCTGCCCTTGCCTGAGCCTTTGATCCAGCCCCTGCCCCTGCCCCAGCCTTTGATCTGGACCCTGTCCCAGCCTCCTTCATAGCCCCTGCCCCAGCCACAGACCCAACCTTTGCTTCTGCCCCTGGAGAGGCCCTGGTCCAGCCCCTCCCTCATCCCTGGCCTTAGTCCCTATTCCAGCCCCTGCCCCAGGCTCCTCCCTCCACTTTTGTCCTCACTTCGGCCCCTCCTTACCCCCAGCACGCTTCTGAGTGAACCCCATCCCAAGGCTGTGATGCCCAGGCTGCCCTCTGAGGAGGCCCTGGCTCTGACTGAATGGGGGCCTTCACTGGGGAAGGCCTAACCAGCTAGTCGGGCAGTGCATGGGGCAGGAGTGTCAGCGGTGGGCACAGGCCCCCAGCTCCAAGAGCAGGTAACAGGGCCAAGCCATAAGGCAGGAGCAGGTCCCAGATTTAGGTTCTGGGGGGTCCTTCAGCTTGGCGCCTCCCCTGCCCTGGGCCAGCCATGGTCCCGAGCCATGGGAAGGTTGCTGAGTGCCCCAGCTGGGAAAGTGCCTGAGCTTCAGCCCCCCAAAATCAGGTAGAAGGAGGTAAAAGGGGGAGTCCCGGGACAGGCCAGTGGGATTTTGGCGGCCCACAAAGTGGGGGCATCAAGAATGACCTCCACTTCAACTACAGATGGCCAGCCTTGAAAGAAAGGACACAAATAGCCCAAGTCTCCCCTGGGGTCACCAATGCCTCTATCCCCATCTTCCTGGGAACCGAACCAGGGAGGCGGGGGTGGGGAGGGCCACAGGACCACGGATAATCTGGCCCTCCACCCACAGGTGGCTCCTGCAATGCAAACATCATGAGGACAGAAGCCAGCATTGTGATGTCACAGCCTGGCTGTGGTTTTGTACTCCTGGAGCTGTGAGTGAGTCAGCTGGGCCTCTACCTCCTCCCCAGGCTCATGGACCCATGTCCGATGCTCGGGTCTGCAAAGGCTGACCAGTAACCCCTCACCTTCTCGCCCTGCTCCTCCCACTTCCTGGGGCTTGTCCAGAAGATGGCCAATGAATGGTGTGCTTAGGGAGACTTTCTTCTCTTGGCCATAACTGGGAACCAGACTTAGGCGAGTGGCCTGGGAACTCTTTGCAAGGCTGTGTTGAAACTGCCTGTTAACTAGGGCACCTTCCCAGCTTGACCACGAGCTTATTCGAAGTATCTGTCTCAGTCTCCACTCTAGCTCCATAAGCTCTGTATACACTCAGAGCACGTGATGTTGTTAAATGCATAAATGGGTGGAGGGTTGGGTGGTAGAGAGAGATGACAAAGGTGCCCCCTCCCTATGCCGGCTGCTTTCTGAACCAGCCCCCAGCTCTGACCCTAGGACTCCTTTCTGAGTGCTGTTGGAAGCCAGCACCTGTTGGAAGTCCCAGGTGTCTTGATGCCCTTGGGACTTGGCAGTGATGGGGCCCTCCCAGCTATGGGGTGGCGAGGGCTATAGTGCAGCTACAGAACATCACATTTGTTCCCTCCAGAGCTGGGGGCACAGCTCAAAGGCCCAAGACTTTGGATTTAATGAGCCCCAAGTCCACATCCAGTCCTGCTTTATGTCCTTGAGCCGGTCACAGGCCCCCTCTGAGCCTCTGTTTCCTTTTCCACAAAGTGGGAATGTAACCCGGCTTCTGAGGACTGTCGGGGGCATCAGAAGAGACAGCTGCAGCCCTGATTGTGGCGGTTACCACCCATCTTCCTGCCTAGCCTACGTGGCTGGTGTCATGGACACAGACCAGGGGGCTGGCTTGAGCAATACTGGAGACAAGGACGGGGACCTCCAGGTGCTGTTACAGGACTCTGTCAGCTCCAGGCCAAGTATGAGTTGTCCCAGGCCCCACCGTGCCCTCTGCCCCAGCCCAGGGCCACCCGCAGTGGGCTAAGTGGCTGGGACTCAGCAAAAATGCCAGAGGAGGCCAGGCCAGGGAGTGGACCAGAAGTAGAGTGACGCCTGGAAGTAGTTGGGAGGGGCAGCTGTGGTGAGGGGGCTGGGCTCCTACCCTTTGACCTCAGCCCTTGGACCCGTCCTGGCCCTCTGCAGGTTTAGTCTCCCATTACGAAGGCAGGACTGTAGGTGGCCGTCCCTCTGCACCTGTCAGCTCGGCCCCTCTAAAATCAGCCTGCGAGGTGGCCACCCTGGCTCTGAGTGGAGACCCCGGGTCATCGCCCTCCAGTGGCCCTTCAATTTCCAGCTGCCCACAGAAGCCTGAATTAGATGCAAAAGGATGTGTCTGTGAGCACGTTTATGGAGAAAAGTTCCAATTCCTGTTAGATTCTGTAAGGGTTTCCAACCCCAATAAGGTTTAGCACAGCCACGGTTCAAAGGGCCCTGCGTGGTATTTGTGGAGAAAGACAATTTTTCTTGTATTTTTCGGGACAGTATGGATGAGAAAATGGGGCCCGAGAGGCAGAGTGGCTTGCCCTAGGTCACTCAGTGGTCACTTGGAGATACCCAGCAGCTGGCCAGGGCAGACCCTCTCTGCCCCCTGCGCCTGACCACAGGCCTTGACTGGACCCGGAGCAGGTGCCCTCCTGGACACTCGGCCTGCTGAGGGGTTCCCGCATGGGTCACGCACGGCTGGGCAGCATTACGCGACCGCATCCCCTCTGGGGGCTGCTGGAGCCCTGACCACAGACTGAGTGCTCAGTATGTGCTGGGCGCCCCAGGCGTGGTCCAGCCAGCCTGTAAGGGAGAGTCTCTCATTACCCCCATTACAGATGGGCTGCCCAGGCACAGAGAGGTGAAGCACCTGGCCAGGTCCCCAGCTAGCAAGGGCTCACGCCACCCCCTACCTGCTCAGCCTCCAGGAGAGGCTCCGCCAGCCCCCCGTGCCAGAAAGACCATGCTCCACTCTGCCCCATGCCCCTTCCTCGCAGCCTGACCACTGGCATCTCTTTAACCTGTTTTTGGCTCAGTTTGCTCAGCAGTAGAATGGGGGCAGAGAGACTGAAGTCAGTGGCCCACTGATGGGGGGAGTGGCCGGCCTGGCACAGGTCTGAGCCCAAGATCCACAGAGAGTGGCCTCACAAGGGGTCCAGACCTGGGAACCTCCAGACCAGTGCTCATGGCCAGCTCTTGCCACCCCTGGAATGTCTCTACAGGCAGAGGAAGCTGCAGAGAGAGGTGGAGAAGCACAAGCTTTTTGAAGACTACCGTTTATGGTCCTTGAGAAAATCCCCAAGGGTATGTAAGTAGCTTCCTCAGAAAGCTCTCTGTAGCCACCTCCCGGCCGTGGGCCTGGGGCATGGCCTGCGACCTCTCTGAGCCTCCAGCTCGAATGCAGAATGGGGATGCACGCAGGCCACCACCGAGGTTGAGAGGGACACAGGTGCCAGCCAGCCTGCCTGGGGAGCCAGCGCTCACCGTGGGGCCTGTGACACGTTCTCAAGGTCTTTGTGTCCTCATCAGCACAATGGGAACCACACCAGTTGCACGGCTCAAATGAACTCATCCTTTGTGAGCAGGGAGCGCAGGGCCTGGTGTCCAGCTGGCACCTGGTAAATGTCAGCTGATACCATGATTATTTTGTCTTTGGCGTTGGTTTTTGTTTTGCTATTTTTTCCAGTTTTATTGAGATATGATTGACATACAGCACTGTGTAAGTTTAAGGTGTACAGCACGATGACTTGACTTTCATATATTGTGAAATGATATAATGTTTAGTTAACATCCGTCATCACATATAGATACAGAAAAAAAGAAAAAAGTTTTTTTCCTTCTGATGAGAACTCTTAGGATCTACTCTCTTAACAACTTTCGAATATACCACACGGCAGTGTTAGCTGTAATCCTAATGTTGCACGTTACATCCCCAATACTTTATCTTATAACCGGAAATTTGTACCTTTTGGCCGCCTTCCTCGAGTTCCCCCCTCCCAGCCGCTCACATCTGGCAACCACAAATCTGATCCCTTTTTCTGTGAGTTTGATTGTTTGTTTTTTAGATTCCGCGTAAAAGTGAGTCACACAGTGTTTGTCTTTCTCCATCTGACATTTCACTTATCATAATGCCCTCAAGGTCCACCCATGTTGTCACAAATGGCAGGGCTTCCTTCCTTTTTTATAACAATAATATTCCATTGTACGTATATACACCCCAACTTCTTTATCCATTCATCCATCATGGACACTTAGGTTGTTTCCACGTCTTGGTGTTTTGCTATTATTACCTGAAATTACACGGATATCTGAAATGGGTCTTCGTGTTTTGTTTTATCATGATTTGTACCAGAGTTCACTGTTACAAGTACTGGAAGGAAACCCCTTAGGAAAGGGAGGGGAGACAGACATATGCATTTTTCTTATCATCGTCGCTATTATTATCTCAACATCATCAATAAAAAAAATAACTATTACCATTTACTGAGTATTTACTCTGTGCTAAGCTCTTTAGTAAATCCCTTTTACCCCTCCGTATGAACTTCTAAGAAATATTTTACCCAGGCTCAGAGAGGTTAAGAAAGTTGCCCAAGGTCACCCAGCCAGGAAGTAGTGGGGCTGGGTCTCAGACTCTGGTCTGACTGCATTGCCTCTGCTCTAAGTGCTTTGGAGCTGTGGGAGCCCCAAAAACTCTGCCCTGGAGGTCAGGGAAGGCTTCACGGAAGAGGTGGTCTCTCATGGGGCTCAAATGAGTTCAGCAGAGGGGAATGGCATTGCAGGCAGAGGGAACAGGCTGGAGCATAGGCCCTGCATGGTGGGGTTGGGGACGGTGCACTCGAGCACCAGAACCTGGCAGGGGGCTGCTGGGAGATGTGGCTGGAAGGTCGAGCAGCACCAAGGAGCCTTGAGCACCGAGCCAAGGAGGGGTGCAGGGCTCCAGGCCCAGCATGGGGCTCGAAGCAGACCCAGTGCCCAGTGCTGCTTCTGGCAGCTTCCTGGCTGGGGGCCTTCCTAGGTCAGCGACTCAACCCTGTTCACCCATCCAGACTGAGCAACCTGCAGGGCTGGGACCCTGTCCCTCAGGACAGCAGCAATTGCTGTCGCCTTCTTGCAGGCTATGCCAATCAGCCGTTTCTCCTCACGGGACGGTCTCAATCCAGAGTCCGTGTCTTCAGGCGATAGGCAGCCTGTGACATGTTGAGGCTTCTCCTGAGGAGGCTGGAGGTGGGTCCTGGGGCCAGACCCTGCGGGACCAGTACTACTGTCTGGGAGCAAGCCCTGCACGGATGGTCTGGCTCCTCTCAGCTTTGGGGCTCCTGCCAGAATTCTGGGGCAAGAGCACAAGTCCCACCCACCTCATTAGAGTCACCCACTGCAGGGGGCAGGGCAGTGCCGGTCTGTCTGTGCCCAACCTCTGCCATGGCGCTGTCTCTGTAGGCTACACGAAGAGGAGGAGCCAGAGGCCCTGGTGGAGGCCCTGGAGGAGGCCCTGGTGGAGGCCCTGGTGGAGCACTGCAGGCCGCTCTTCACACTCAGCCAGGACATCCAGGTGCATCTGGAGGCCTTCTCCAGGATGAACCAGGCTGTCCACCAGAGCCTGGAGTCTCCAGAGGACGGCCACAGGGCTCTTATTCCGGTAACAGCTGCCTGAAGCCTGACTCCTTCCCCTCGGCCCAGAGAATCGGGGGCATAGGGGCCCCCTCACCTTGTCACCCCCAGGGAGGGCTGGAGCAGTGATGGGCTCCTGAGAGAATCTGGGTGGGCTGTCACTCCAGAGCCTCATGCTGTATCCCTTTCTGTCCCTTCTGCTGGCTGACTCAGGGTTTCTCCTGAGGGAGGCGCAGCTTATGCTTTAAAGGTGTTCATGCGTGGTAGGAGAGCCGTGAGCTCTGGATTCAGACAGACTGGGTTCAAATTCCAGCTCAGCCTCTGAGTAGCTGCATGACCCTGGGTGAGTTTGTACCCTCTCTGAGCCTCAGTTTCTTCATCTGTCAAATGGGTGCAATGCAACCTTGCTGGTAGGTTGTTGTGAGACACCGAATACAGACGGTCTCGAAGTACGTGTCCCAAGGAGTCATCTCTCTCTTTCCTTTACGGTTAGTCTCATAATAAATAGAACTTTCGCCAGCAGGAGTGGGCATCCCATGCAGAAGAAACTGCCCCGCACAGGCATGGCATGATGAATTTGCAGGTTGCAGCCGGGGCCTGGGGACACAGAGGGGAAGGGGACGGAGAAGAAGGCTGACCGGTGGGCTGATTCTTGCAACGGACCTTTGAGTGGCGTTTGCAGCCAGTCTCTGCCCCCTAGTGGCAGCACTGAAAACCTACACATTTTGTACCTTTTTTCCCTTGGGGAACAGGGACCCTTTAAGGTTGGGGAACTGCGAGCAGTGTTTCACATGCTTCATCTCATGTAAATCTCACCCCAGCACTTCAATGTAGGTGTTTTTATTCCGGGGGCTGAGACCAGGGAGGTGAGTGACGGGAGCATGAAAGCACAAGGTTGGATCCCAGCTTTATTTAAAATGTTAATACTTTGTTCATCATGGATTGTTTTGTATTAACTTGGATTTTTAAAACACATTGCATTAAAATATTTTCTTAATTACTGAGTTTTTGACACCCCCTTAAATTTTGCACCTTAGTTCAGTCCTGACATTCTTCCCATCTTCTGGTGAGGAAACTAAGGCTCAGATAAGCAAGGACACTTGCGTATGTCCTGTGTCTCCAAACACACCCCCGGGTCCTGGCGGGGAGCGTGCCCTGTGCAGCCCTGTGCCCCACCCGCCTGGGCCATAGAAGGCCTTTTGTAGCCTCACTCCCTGGCATCCTCCCAGCAGCACCCAAGGCCGGAAGGGCACAGACTTGTGGCTTTGGTTATGGCGAGGAAGACAGGGCTCGGCGAGCTGAGTCAGGATTCAAACCCCGGCAGCCTGGACATGCCTTTTCCTGCATCTCCTGGTGCTTTGAATGGCCCTGACCACCCAGAACTTTCCCCTCCTCTCACCCCCATTACCGCTCAGACCACCCTGAGCAGTGAGCTCCTCGGGACCAGACCCAGAGCAGGTGCTGGGAGGGCTTGCTCACCAAGGTGACCTAGCCCCTGTCACCACAGAGCCTCCAGACCCGGCTGTGTCAGCTGCCGAAGAGGTGTCACCACAAGCAGGAGCAGGAGTGGCAGTTGGAACATGGTGTCACCTGCCAGGAAGACATGGGCAGCTATAACGTGAGTCCAGTCAGCTGGCTAGGGGGTATGGGTGGGGGCAGGGGCTGGGGACTACCGTCTCCTCGATAATCATCAGCCACCAACACGCCCACACACACACACACCCCGCTTACCCACTTACCTCTCCTTGGGGATGGCTGGCTGTCAAGGGGCTTCTCTAAGATGGGGCAGATGTTCCTTTACAGATGGGGAAACTGAGGCCACAGATAGTTGAGGACCGAGCTCTACCAAGAATCTGAGCTGGGAGCCCCGGGCCTAGTCCCATGGCCCGGCTTGTGCACTCCTGAATATTGGTTTACTTTTTATCCCTGTCTATTTCACAGATGAGAAGAGTGATGCTCAGAAAGACAAGTCATGGCTGAAGTCCTTGACCCGGGGCCAGAGTTTCAGGGCTTAATCGCTTGAGCTGTTCCTTACTAGCCTTGGGAATGTGGACTAGTTACCCTTCGGACCCCTGGATCCTCACCGTACCCAGAGTCTGTGCCCTTCCGGCCTCAGGGGCTGCTGAGAGGACATGGGGAGCAAGGCCCGGGGCCCAGGGCTGTGCTGGGCACGCCTCACCTGGACAGGGTGCGGCCAGCAAATGTAGGACCTTCTCAAGCCCTGTGGGGTCCCTGTTTGGAAGACATGAGGGTTGTGGGGTCAGTAGGCTGCTGACCTCCAGCCGAGGGACTTAGAGGAGGAGCTGGACTGGACGCATCTACAGAGCCCTCTGGGCCTTTCTCTTTAAGGTGGGAAGTAAGGCTGCTGAAGGTGAACGTGGCCCCGGGGGCCCGAAATCCAGGACTCTGACTCTGCCGGAAGTGAGGAGTTCCTCCCTGCCCCTTCCCAGCCCCACCTCAGTGTGGACCACAGATGTTTCCAGCCAGGGGGACCCTCTGGGAAGTTAGTCTGTCCAGTGTCCCTCTTTGCCCAGAGGATGCTCAGGCCCTGAGGTGGGGAGGGACTCCCCCAAGCCCCTTTGGGAGCGGAGCACAGGGCAGGATGAGAAGGTGGCTCCTGGCTCCAGGATGCTTCTCTGGCCTGAGTGAGCTGGAGACGGGGTCAGCGGATGCTGGGAGAGGGCCTGAGCCTTCCCCTCCTCCTCTGCCTTGCCCCTCTCCTCCTCCCCCACCTCCTCCTCCCCTGCCTCCTCCTGCAGAACCAGCAGCTCAACTACGTGCAAGTAGCCCTCAACAGCATGGCCCAGCAGTGCTGCTGCTCTGCCCACGGTGTCCTCGAGAGCATGGGCTTCTTCTCCAAGCTCGACCTGATTCAGGTGAAGACGCCCCACTGCCTAGGCTGGCCTCCGACCCAAGCCCGTCCTGGGTCTCAGCTCATGTGCCTTTGTGGTTAGCGGCCCTCTTAGCCTCTCCCTCCGTGGCTGCATGGGCTCCTGGTACAGTCGGTCTCAGGGTCTTTATTAGTCTCTCAGCAAACATAACGAGCACCCATTAGGGGCAGGGTCCGAGGGGGTTGTAAAGGCATTCTTGCCCTGCCTGCTCTTCATGTGTAGCCTCACCCTGGCACATCACACACACACTCACACACACGGTGTACACACTCATACATTTACACGTGCTCTCTGCACACTGAGCAATACACACGAAACATACACGGACACACTTGCAAACACACCAGGACGCACACAGGTGTGGTCACACATTTACACACATGTGCATGCTGGAAGGGGACATTTCAGTGACAGATGGAGCCTCTACACAGGGTCCTCAGTTTATACTTCAGACTCTCCGTCAGGTCCACTGAGCTTCCCCTTCTCACCGCCTGCACCAGGACCAACAGAGAACCCGGGATCAGACAGGCTTCCACTGACAACAGACCATGTCTTTTTAATTTTCAATAATAGCTTTATTGGGCTATAATTCACATACCATAACATTTACCCTTTTAAAGCAGACACTGCAGTGTTTGCATTACAGTCAGAATTGCACAACCATCATTAGCATTTAATTCCTGCACATTTCATCACCCCCCAAAAATACAATTTGTGTCTGGCTTCTTTCACTTAGCATGTCTCCCAGGTTCATCCATATGGTAGCAGGAATCAATACTTCATCCTTTTTATGACTGAATAATATTCCTTTGTATGGATAGACCACATTTTGTTCATCCATTCACCGGTTGATGGACATTTGGGTTGTTCCCATTTTTTGGCTATTATGAATGCTGCTTCAATGAATATTTATGCAGATGTTTTTGCGTGGACATATCTTTTCAATTATCTTGGGCATGTACTTAGGAGTGGAATTTCTGAGTCATGTGATAACTCAATGTTTGACATTTTGAGCAAATGCCAAACTGTTTTCCAAAGTGGCTGCATAATTTTTCAATCCCATGATCAACATATGAGGGTTCCAATTTCTGCCTATCCTTGTCAACACTTGGTATTGTCTGTCTTTTGTAAATTAGCCATCCCATGGGTGTGAAGTGTTGTCTCGCTGTGGTTTTGATTTGCATTTCCCTGATGATTAGTGATGCTGAGCGTCTTTTCATGTGCTTCCTGGTATTTGTGTATACTCTTTGGAGAAATGTCTATTCAGTTCCTTTGCCCATTTTTTAATTGAATTGCTTGTCTTTTTATTTTTGAGTTGTAAGCTTTCTTTATATATTCTGAATTCAAGTCTCTTATCAAATATGTAATTTGAAAATATTTTCTCCCATTCTGTGGGTTGTCTTCACTTTTTCAATGGTGTCCTTTGAAGTACAAAAGTTTTAATTTTGGTGAAATCCAATTTAGCTATTTTTTCTTTGGTTACTTGTGCTTTAGGCGTCATATCTAAGATACCATTGCCTAATCCAAGGTCATGAAGATTTGCACCAGATTTTCTTGTAAGAAGTTTATAGTTCTTGATTCATTTTTGCCGAATTTTTGTATATAATATGAGACAGGGGTCCAATTTCACCCTTTTGCATAAGGATCTTCAGTTGTCCCAATATTTGTGGGAAAAAAAATTCTTTCCCCATTGAATTGTCTCCTCACCCTTGTCTACTATCAATTGACTGTAAATGTGAAGGTTTCTTTCTGGACTCTCGGTTCTATTCCGTCTATCTATATGTCTGTCCTTATGCCCGGACCACGCTGCCTTGATTACTGCAGCTTTGTAGCAAATTCTGAAATTGGGGAGTGTGAGGGCTCCAACCTTGTCTTCTATTCTGAAGTTGTCTGACTCTCCTAACAGGCATGTCTTGCATCATTCGTGGAAGTTCGGTGGCTGGGTGGGTTTCAGGCATGGTGTGACCCAAGGCTCAGTGGCACCATCAGGGACTTGCCCTTTCCACCCTCTCCTGTCTGCCATACTCAATACTGGCTTCCTCCTAGGTTGTAATTTGCTTCCTCACTTGAGGCAGGTCCAGGGAGAAGGTCAAACACAGGATTCGGGGTCCCTCTGGAGTACTGGGGGGGGCGAGTCCCTTCTCCAGTGTTGTCCAGTAGCAACAGTCAACAGTGAGCAAGCCTGGGTCTTAGTTGAGTGAATTCTCACATGAATTTCACAGGCTGTATCAGGGCTGCTCCGTGGCACAGCTCCGGGGTCACCGGCCATGTGGAAGGCCACATAATTAACATTCCCTGGGGCATATCCTTTGCGTTGTGATATGAATGATGTAACTTTGAGTAAGGGCACTTTTGTCTAAATAGTTACAGTGTATTAATTTCACCTTCTTCCCAAGAGAAAGGAAAAAATTACACAGTGACGTCAGGGCGTCCCAAGGGTCTCCCACAACAATCACTCACTCAAGACTCACTGAGTCACCTGTGTGTGCTTGGCCTTGTGCTAGGTAAAGAGTCGGAGGTGGGAGGAGGTCACCTGATCCTTAAGAAATGAATGCCTCTTAGAGAGGGAGGCTGGGGGCAGTCAGGGTGGGCTTCCTGGAGGAAGCAGTGAGAGGAGGCAGGCACCCACATTCAAGAAGTCACACAAGGACCTGAACTCTGAGTTATCCAGCTCTGCCACTGCTGGGCTGTGTAGCTTCAGGCAAGTCACTTAACCTCTCTGAGCCTCAGTTTGATCGGTTTGATCATTGGCATTGATACCATGTCCTTCACAGGGCTCTTGTAAGAGGAGATGTAAGTCACCTTTGATGGTGCTTCGGTCCCTGGGAAGTGGTGTCCAGGGCCCAAAGCCCTGTCTGGTGAGAGAGCTTTCTTTTTCTCCCAGGACTTTATGCTGGACAAAATGGAGACTGTGAGATCTGTCTCACTGCTCGTGGAACCCAGAGTGTGCTGGTCAGGGGACAGCCGTGAAGACCAGGGACTCAGAAGATACCCCAGACCCTTCAAGAAATGTCCAAAGAGCCCGGATTCGATCCCCAGGACCCCCTTTCCCAGCACCCAGACCTCAGAGTGCTCCAGCCTGTGCTGACCCCACTGCGGCCACACTGGCAACACGACCACCTCCTTACCTGCTTGGCCTCGTTTTCTTACCACCACCCCTGAGTGGGTGGGAGCAGGCCCGGGGGAGTGAGAGGGCCAGCTGGGGTGGGGAGCTGCTGTTCCCCATGTCAGAACATGTCGGGGGATTGGCAGGCATCACGGGGGCGCTGCCTCGGACCGTGGGTGAGAGAGACAGAGGTTCGCGAGGTGGAGGCAGCAGCCGGGTGGGAAGTCCAGGTTGGAGACCCGTGCCCGGGAGCTGGGGCTGCATTTCTGCTGTCGCTGATGGGTTCATCTGAGACCGCGGAGCACTGGATAGATGCCTGGCTGCTGGGAATGTCCGAGTCACAGACAAAGAGCCACCCAGAGCCACAGCATGCGTGAGAGCTAGCCTGGCCCACAGCAGACTGGGGTCACAGCAGACCGGGGGCACTGGATTTGGAGGGGGCATCTCATCTCCTCACGGTGCCCAGAAGCTCAATGCCAGCTCAGTGCCTTCTGCCCACCCCAAGCGTCCCCAGAGTTACCGGGAATGAATGCTACTGTCAGGGAGAACTCGGCAAGGCAAAGCCCCTCTCTGGGCTGGTTTCTCCCCCGTAAAGTTGGGTGAGAGGGTGTCTAAGGGAGTCCCGTCTCAGTTGGACGTTCTTAGGTTCAGGTTGGAAAACCTCAGTCTGCGTGGAAGGCACTGGCTTGGTTTTATTGTGCCACTCGGGTAAAATCATCCTAGCAACCCCTGAAAAGAATTCCCCTCTGGGGGTTACTGACGTTAATTGATTTAGGGAAAAGTTGAAAGTTAAGAGCAACTGAGGAGCTGCGAATAGTGGTGAGCCAGCAAGTTAACTTTCAAAACGATGCTGCTATTCAGTCAACGAACACCACGGGTCTGCTGTATTCTAGATGCTGTTGGGAGATGGCGGCGAGAGGCTCAGAGGGAGGGAGGGTGGGGGGCTGAGCGGGACTTGGCCACTGAATTAATTAGGGAAGCTAAATATAACGAAGAAGGCTGAGTGTGGCCAGGTCTTAAGAGCAGTGTGAACAAAGGAGAGCTGTGGAGGGAGCGCTGTTTCGAGTTTCTGATCTCACGGGCCTTTGGAGCAAAGAGGGCATCTTGGAGAAGGCTCGAGTCAGATTTCAGAAGGGAGAGGTTGGAGGAGGCCGAAGAAAGGGAAGGAAATACAAGGGTGGGGACTTCCAGTTTGGCTGGAGCATGAAGAACCTGGTGGGCAGTCTGAGAAGTGGGGCTGGGGAGCCATGGGCGGGGGTCCCAAAGGCCAGCCAGAGGCCACACACGGGGGTGTCTTAGACCATTCAGGCTGCTGTGACAAAAATACGATAGACCGGGGGGCTTAAACAGCACACGTTTATTTCTCCCAGGTCTGGAGGCTGGAAGTCCAAGATCCTGGCGCCGGCACATTCTGCGTCTGGTGCGGGCTCACTTCCTGGTTCATAGATGGCTATCTTCACAGGGTAGAAGGGGCAGGGAGCTCTCCCTGGTCTCTTTCATAAGGACACTAATCCCATTCGTCAGGATCCACCCTCCTGACCTAATCACCTCCCAGAGGCCCACCTCCTAACACCAGCACATCAGGGGTTAGGTTTCAACACAGGAATTTTGGGGGGACACAGGCCTTCCATTGCAGACAGCCTCTCACATTCACACATCTCAGTTCTCTTTCTCTCCCCGCAACATCCGCTTTGCAGAGAGATCTAAAGCATCCTGTCATTCTCCCCGTAATGCGGGCAGCCGTTAGGCCGATGGTCCTTAGATCTGAACACTCTTCAAAAGGGTTGTTACAGCACAGAGTGTGGGCCCAAGCCCAGAGCAGCGGATCCATCAGGTCTGGGGTGGAGAGACCTTAGAATCTGCATCTCTAACAAGTTCCCAGGAGACGCTGATGCTACTGGTCCATGGACCACAGTTCGAGAACCTCTGCTTTCAAGTAATGTCAGATCCTCAGTGCCTAAGCTGGCTCTGCTCCACCTGGAGCACCAGCTCCCCCTGCCTGGAGTCCAGTTTCCTGTCTGCATGATGGAGCAGGCATGATGGGGACCTGGCATCCTAGGAGGGCCACCGCAACCCCGTCTAATCTCCTGGGAGGGACTGGATATAACACCCTCTTATGGACCCAGGGCACAATTCTCCGGCTTTGTGGCTTTGCCTGCTGGGGCTCAGTGGAGAGCTGCTGTCCTCTGTGTCCTGCCATCTGCCTGCTGTGCACCTGTTGTGCATCTGCAGGTCTAGTTCAGAAGTTTCGTCACACTCCTTTGGGAGCAGATGCCTGGTGTAGCAGTGGCCTGGCCATCAGTCTAAGTTTACAGCTGGCATCCGAGTCTTTTAGGAGCTCCCAGCTTGCCCCGGGCGGGGCTTGGGTCATGAAATTGACTGAGAGGCACTGTGTGCATGAGTGCTGCTCTCCCAGGCTGCTGGCATCACTACAACACTGGGGTTTATCCCTCCTGGGTTTTTTTTTTTTTTTTTTTTTTTTTTTTGCCAAACAGAAAGCTCTCTTAGCCCTGAGCCTGCACTTTTAAAGCACTTTCCTCCTGGGTTCCATATGAGCTGGAGAAACGTCTTTGAGTGCATTTGGAGAAAAAAGCAGTGGTTCGCGTACCTTATGGAATGTCATTTCATCTGACCACCCGCCCAGACCCTGAGACCCCAAGACACCCAGCAGCCCAGGGCCAGGACATTTTCTGAAACCGAGAGCTCATTACCTTCCAACGAATTCCAGCCCTAAGCAACTTCAAGTGTGAGAAAATTCTTCCTATAGATCATCCTAGAAGAACTGGGTTACCAGCGAACGGCTGATGCTGAGAAAATTGGCTATTTGGCGGGAAAATCAAATGATGTCCTTTTTTCACACCATACACTGCAGTATATTCTAATTCCTTTGAGTGGTGATTTTCCAGCTTTATTGTTCATGAAGACCACCTGTGACACTTGCTGAATAGGGAGCTAGTGAGGGCTTGTTCTCAGAGGTTCCGATTTGGGGTGTGGGGGGGTCCCCAAATCTGGGTTTTTAACGAGCTCCCGGGCAGTTCTGATGCAGATGGCTCTCCAATCACAGGCTGAGAAAAACTGGTATCCAAATGACAAAGAGAAAAAACTCTGGTCCACCTTTACCTGCTCGTCAATTCAGAAGGACTTCGGAAGAATGAAAGCAACGGAAGTGACACTGAAAATGATTTGATCACGTAAAAGTTAAAAATACATCTAGCTCAGGACACATCCAAATATTTGAAGACAATAAACTGGGGGAAAGTGTTGAGACATTTGAAAACGGATCAATGTTTTTGATATTTAAGGAATGTTTACAAAGTAAAAAATAGTTGATACAAATTGTTCATATTCAGAAAATCACAAAATAAATAAAAATGGCTATAAACATGAGAAATATTTCAACTCACTAAAATAAATTAAACCTTATAATTTCTGACCATCAAAAAATTTTAAGCTGGGCCAGCCTGGTGGTGCAGCAGTTAAGTTCCCACGTTCCGATTTTCGGCGGCCCGGGGTTCGCTGGTTCGGATCCCGAGTGTGGACATGGCACCGCTTGGCACACCATGCTGTGGTAGGCGTCCCACGTATAAAGTAGAGGAGGATGGGCATGGATGTTAGCTCAGGGCCAGTCTTCCTCAGCAAAAAGAGGAGGATTGGCAGCAGTTAGCTCAGGGCTAATCTTCCTCAAAAAAAAAAAAAATTTAAGCTAATACACTAATGGTTGTAAGCCAGGCTCTCCAACACTGCCCTACTGTTTGCATGAACTCTCCGGAAAGCAATTTGATAAGAGGTCTCAAGAGACTTAAAAAATGTTTATGTCCTTCGGCTCAGTAATTCTAGGTCAAGAAATTTAAGTTAGTAAAACCAGGGCTATTTGGTTTAAAGTGGCAGGACGCCCAATTCAACTTGGCTGAAGCCAAAAAGAGAATGCATTGGCTCATATGACTAAAAGACCAAGGATTCTAGCTTCAGGCACAGCTTACTCAATGTCAACAGTCTCCCTCTGTCTCTGGGGTCTGCTCTTCTACCGCTGGCTTCATTCTCAGGCTCAGCGTAAAAAAGACGGCAGCCAACAGCCTCGGCCCAGCATCCTCTGAAGTTGGAGTTGGAGGAAAAGAGAGAATGTCTCTTGCCAGTAAGTCCTGGGAAAGTGCCAGCGTTCACTCTGATTGGATCACCTTGGGTCACGTGCCTCTCTTTAAACAAATCCCTGATTGGCCGGGCCCAAGTCATGTGTCCATCCCAAACTCATCTCTGTGACTAGGGGTGATCCCATACTCTGATTGGCCAGATCTGGGTCAAATCTTTGTTTGAGTTTCCGTGAGGTGGAATATCTTTCATGGCTAGAGGCCATTCCTCTGGACTCAGCCACATGAATTAAAAGAAGGGGAAAGGTGGTTCCCCCAAAGGGAAATGAGGCTACTGTCATCACAGGGAGGTGGGACCTGGCACTGGGCAAGCAAAGGCCAGAAAGGCCCGTTACAGATGCCAACCAAGCGTCTATACAAAGATGTTCACCACAGTGTTATTTACAGCAGCCAAATCGGAAACAATGCAAATATCTCAGAGGAAGAAGTCAATAAAGGATGCCAAAACTTTATGCTTTTATAATTCTGCAGCTATTACATTACATGGTTTCAAAAATATCTAATGTAAGGAAAAATATCTATAGGGTGTAAAGTGAAAAAAGCAGGGATAAAGAAAAAGCAGAATACAAACCCAATTTAGTAGAAATTATTGCTATAAAAGAAGGAAATCGACTAAAACGGAGCTCCTGACTGGGAGGATCCTGACCCTGGGGAGGAGTGGGACGTATTAGATCCACCTCGTTGGGCAGATTGAATTACTGATCCCAAGTCTCCAGGGCCCTGTGGTGGTGTCTACACTCACACTCTTGCCAGAGGCTCGTGGTGGGCAGAGTACTCATATCTACCTCTTGACCTTGGGTTGACTTGCTTTAGCCAATAGGATGTTAGTGGATTATGACACGAGCAAAGGCTTAAAACATGATCATGCAGGGGTGCTCACCACCCCTGAGCTTTATGGTGAAGAGAACATGTCTTGGGGGCCCCCTGGTTCCAGAGGGATGAGAGCCATGTGGAGCAGACGTTGACCCAACCTGCTATTTGAATCCACTGAAGTCATTCAGTGAAGTGTGAGGTTGTTTGTTACACAGCATTATAGCAATAGCTGTCTGATACACTTACACATGTCAAATTCCATGCTCTCTCCAACCCAAGAAGCACCCCATGTGGGGACCAGGCCACCTGACGGGCATGAACTGTGTCCCTGAGAAATGCTGGGATGTAGAAAAGGGGTTAAGAACTCTGTTCTGCCCTCTTAACAGTAGTTAGCTTTGGATTGTGGGATTCTAATGTTTAATTTTCTTCTTTATATTTTTGTATATTTTCCGAAGTTTCTGCAATGAGCATGGTCAACTTTCATAACCAGAAAAAAAAGCTTTACTCAAAAATTGGGAAATTAATTGGAAACCAACTCTTCTTGGCATCTCACTAATCCTGACCTTTGGTGTCCCCAAGATCAAGGCTAATTGTCAAGTCCTTCACCCACAGGACTGTCTTCAAGGCTCTGAAGATGGGGTTCTTGGCCCCCGGCATATTGTCTTTTCTCCGTTTTGGCAACTGTGTTTTATTGAATATGGCTCCACTCTCTGAATGTGTCCACCCTGGTCTCCAGCCTTAAAATGTAGCATCCCAATCTGAGTTCCATTCTCCGAGTAAGAAAGCTGGCCAGACGGGGATGCCAGGAAACGTCTGGAGGAGGCTGCCTTGCTGGGGGCCCCAGCCGTCAAGGGGCTGGGCACTCCAGCCTTCACTCCCAGCCCCTCACCCTGGAGGTCCTGTCCTGCCCAGCCCTGCTCTTGGCTCAGGAAAGGCAGGGCTACTTCGAGGC